TTGCTACTTCTTCAAATCACGCTGAGATAATAGCTATTCATGAAGCAAGTAGGGAATGCGTATGGTTGAGATCAATAATTCATTTTATTCGAGAAAAATGTGGTTTGGAATGTGAGAAAAGACCCACAATTTTATACGAAGACAATGCTACATATATAGACCAATTGAAGGGAGGATTTATAAAAGGAGATAGAACGAAGCACATTTCACTAAAATTATTTTACACATACGATCTTCAGAAAAGTGGTGACATTGATATGCAACAAATCTGTTCAAGTGACAATCCAGCAGATTTATTCACTAAATCTTTGCCAACTTCAACCTTTGAGAAGATGGTATACAAGATTGGAATGCGAAGACTCAAATATTTAAAACAAGGTTTTCATCAGGGGGAGTAAAATACGTGATGCACTCTTTTTTCCTTACTAAGACTTTTTACCATGAGGTTTTCCTTATAAGGTTTTTAATGAGGCACATAGCAATGCGTATTACTAAATATGTATATTTTTTTTCCTTCACTACGTGGTTTTTTTCTAGTAAGGTTTTAATGAGACACATTATCTTTTAATGAACATCCAAGGGGTAGTGTTATAAATAAATTATGTTATGGATGTTCATTTAGTACTCCGTTGTAAATAAGCTTCCTGAAGAAGCTTATCCATATGGGAATCCGTTGTAAATATATTTATCTATTTAGTACTCTATGGGAAGTAACCTTCCTGAAGAAGCTTATCACTTTGGTACCCGGTTATGGATAAACATTACCCTCGGTAGAAGATTATCCATATCGGGTACAATGAGCTTATCCTTTAGGTACTCCATTATGGATAATCATTACTCTCAGTAGAAGATTATCCATATCTGGTATAGTAGCAGCTTATACAGCAGCTTGCAGTAACAGCTTACACAACAACTTCCTTTCTTCTATAAATAGAAGAGATTTCAGTTTATTATGTACATCAATTTAAATTCGAATAAATCAGTTTCTCTCTATACTTGTCTTTATTTTACAGTCTTTATTTTATAACACCTTTCAATATTTCTAAGTATATATGATAAGAAGTTATTTTTGCCATGTGTTATTCCTTGTTTAGCCTTTTCTATTTTTTGTTGTAGAAGGTTAACTTTGCATTCC